ACATACATATATATATACATATATATATATACATACATATATATATACACATACATATATATATACATATATATATACATACATATATATATATATACATATATATATATATACATACATATATATATATATACATATATATATATACATATATGTATGTATATATATATATATATATATTTATATATATATATAAAGTATAAATATACATATATATGTATACATTTTATAAAATAAACTACTACTTACTTGTTGTACTAGTATTCCTACTTCGCGGTTTTTCATTTATCGCGGGTCTTCAGGGTACGGATCCACCGTGATAAACGAGGGACTACTGTACCCGATATGTTTTCTTGGTTGCAGATTCATGAACAAGAGTTTGACCTGTCTCCTTTTGACGTTTGTTGCTCTTTCCACATCAGAATCAATAATGACAGAATTACGGGTGAACCGATTGCAGTTTTCTGGCCGATCAGCGATCAGTAAAAAGTCTGACCTGCCGTTTCTGATTATGTTTTATAAGTGACACTGTCGGGTGTTATAAGGTCACAATGCACCTTCAATCTTATTTTATTGAAAAACATACCCTTCAACGATATCCTAGAAACAATACAAACTGGTTTTAACTGACCATGAGGTAGTGCTCTGAAATATAAATGAAGTTTAGACAATTGTTGTTAAAACTACAAAATACGGTTTCTCATGTAAGTATCGGCCGATCTCCGATCCCTCAAAATTAAGGAAATCTGGGCCGATGAATCAGCTGGACGATTTATCCGTGCACCCCAGAATGATCCAACTTTCTTTCTGGCTTCAAAAAGTGAGCTGACAAGAGCAATCTACACTAAATTATGCATTTATCAGTTTGTTTTAAACGACAACATTAGAAGCAATATAACGTTTTACATTTAAATGATCATCTTGGGGGGGGGGGGGGGGGACCAGATTTGGCTCACCTCTCTTGACTTCGACATGTAGATAAAAGCCCAACATATGGTGCAGAACCCCTCTCGCCCTAAAAGTGACTTCTCTTGACACAGTTGGAGAAAATCACTTCATTTTGGAGAGTTGTAAAGAGTCTGCCTGTGAAGTCCTAATAGATGCTAAAGGAGTGTGTGTTGCTTTAAGAGCCAGTCTTCGGGAGGCTTCTTGGTATTAATAGAGCTGCTGTGTCTTCCTCCTGTGACGTAATGCGCCTACAGAGACAGGCAGAGAGGTCCTGTCACAGCTAAGCGATAACACTTGTCTAAAAGAAAGCAAGAAAGATAAAGAGCTGTCCTGTTTCGGTTCGCTGTGGACAGCAAAGTCCTGCTCCGGCCGCCTAAATATCGCTATAGTAACCGAGCTAAACTCACTCATCAGTCGGCATTAGCCTAGTTTATGAGCTGTCGTGAAGCCATAACTATCTCTCCCCCCCACCCCCCCCGACCAAAGCGAGAGCAAAAAAAAAAAAAAGAGACAGCCAAGACAAAAAAAAAGCTTCACGACAGCAAAAAAAAACACAAAAAAAAAAAAAAAAAAAAGAGCCACAAAGAGACGAGCCAGCCTCCATCTTAACAGGCTCCCACAGAGAAAAGGGGCTTATTTTGATCAACAGGTAAGCAAAAGCATTAGCAACACAAACACATACAACAACAACAACAACAAAAAAAAAAACATAAATGCATCGACCGTGCAGGTTTAAGTCGGCGACGAAGTGCACGCGGCTCAGACGACGTGAACCCCCCTCCTCCTCCGTACACTTCGAAAAAGGGAAGCGATATTAGCCGCGTTGCTAGCTGTTTGTAGTTTTTACGACGGGCAGCAGTCGGTTTGCGTCTTATGTAACTAACGGCCCCGTCCGGGGAGGAGGAGAAGTGGGGGGGCGTTCGGGAAAGAAGGGATCCGCTGCTTGAATGAGAGGGGAGGAAAAGAGAGCAGCACCGCTTTGAATTCACATGGCAATTCACATTTTAGGCTAGGACACCCACAAACGCCACACTAATACAAATTGGGAGTGCAGGGGAGGGGGGGCGCGCCGCTACCGGGAACAGCTACCGCTTTGATTTAGTTTGAAGCCGAAGACGGGGGACGCGGAGTGACTCGGAGAAGTAGGTTTGTGTTTTCTTTTTTTTAAAGTTTTTTTTTTTTTTTTTAATCTTCTTCCTTCACTTGACGATACAGCATCTTTGACTCGACTGCAGTTAGCCGAGTGGCTCCAGTGGTGTGTGTTGTTTTTAACTTGGGTTTGCGCGTTTTTCATTGATAACTCAGCGCAAACTTGATACACAAGTTCAGATTTCTCCTTGATCCGCCGCTTCACGCGCGAGACGCGGACGGCGTGCTTAGCCCACTTCACTTTATTGTTAATTTGCACTTTGAAACAAAACAAAAAAAATAGGTGCAAGTTTGAACCAAAAGGGGGGTTAGTTTATTGCTTTACAACCGACATGGTGCTTGTTTTTGCTGCTTTGTTGGTGGTGGGGGGTGGGGGGGGACAGCGGATGTTATCAACTTTTTAAGCTAAGTTGGCACAAAGTTGTTTATTTGTTTGCTGTTGTCTCTTAAAGTGATGCCGGGAAGCTTGAGTTGCATTTCCACTCAACTCTGAAGAAGACCCCCCCTCCTCCTCTTCCTCCTCGTTGTTACAAACTGTGATGTTCCTTTGAGATAAGGGAGCTGGGTAGGCATGACAACTCTGTGGGGAGAGCAGGGTATGTGAAGCCAGTACAATGAGGCACACACTGCAAGGAAGCTCTTTTTTTTTTTAACACTGTTCACCAGAGTTCTCCAAATCTGGACCCCCCCAGCCCCATCAGGGGACTGCTTGTGTGGACTTTTGTTCAGCAGATAACCTCCACAGGTTTTAAAAAGAAAAATCCATCCCAAACCTGCTGGACACTTTCTCTCAAGTGTTTTCCATCTTTAATTATCCAATCACACATGTACGCTCGGATTGAAGCAAAAACAAAAGTTCTTCCAAGTTAATACAAAGTAAAAATCCTTATTTATTATTAATTAAAGTTGAAATTCAAGTTTTGCCTGAGTAAAAAAAAAAGACAACGAAACTCCAACTTGGCCAAGTTTTGTTCGCTTTAATTCCAGTTTTTCCTTCAAGTTACAGATTAGTTTATTCAGTAGTTGTGAAAGCTAAAGGATCTTAAGTTTTCGGCGGCGATTTGTTTGAAGTGAGAGCGTTTAATTTTTTTCTACGGAAGAAACAAAGATTTACGGTCGTCGTCAAAGTGGAACCAGATTTGAGAAGCGACGCTTATCTCCTAAATGTGAAGTTGTCGTGACACATTCAGCTCCTCGTTTAACTTTTTAAAAATTTTTTTTAAACAAGTGTTTTTACATCTGCTTTCTTGTTGGGCAATAATGACATATTTTTTTTTGTAGTTCCCTAATTTTCTAGTTTTGCTTCATTTTTTTGTTGTTGTATATTTAGTGTCGTTTGGTCGTTTGGTAATGAAAGACTGTCCTTTTTGATTAACAATTTGTTAAAAATTAAAACTTGTAATAAACTTTAGTGAAATTTCCATCGTCACATTTGACAAACAAGTTGTCAAGATAAATAGCCTTAACAAATGACTCACGATCCCATGCCTTGTTTTATCTCAACAAACCCTGTCAAACTTTTACCAGCGCTCCAGTAAATGATGAATATGTGAATCCGGTACTTTTCACCAGGCTTTTCTGGGTGACATTAGTTCTCCTGGTCCAAAACAGTTGACAGCTTCTTACAGAGAGGCTCTTGCTCGTAAAAACTCATTTGTGTGTGTGAGACAGAGCGGGAGACGGCAAAAGCACTTACTCCTTGTGTGTCTTTATGTTCTGTGGAGACGGCCAAGGCCGGCTCATATGGCCGCAATATGTGGAGCGTTTGTGGTGGAGAGAAAGTTTTCCAGAAAGAGAGGGAGGCGAAGAGAACACATGGAGCAAGGGAAGTCAGAAATGTCCTGTTCAACTAGAGCCGGAATGTGTTGCTCGTGTTTTATTGATGGTTTGATGCTGGAAGACACGAGGAACAACTGTAGTGATTTCTGTGGGCTGCCATGTATTTCTTTTTGTTGTCTCGGGTTGTTTTAGAGCGTTGCACGGTGGCGAAAAGGCCGGTTTGAGACGCAGCATGAAAACGGTGGCTTTTAGAGAAAGCGGGGAGTGATTTCACTCGCCTGACAAATTGAGAACGCTGAGCAAACTTGATGGGATTTTACATTTTAATGGTCCAGTTTTAGTTATTTCAACGATTGTGACAGAGTTCAACTTAAACGAGTTGACAGGAGTAGTAAAAGTTTCACAGAAGTAAGGGTTTTTATCTAAAATCACTTATTGGCTTAAATTAGTGCAAATGTCTCACTAACGCTTTATTTTTCACCACATTTTTTTTAATGTCACAAACAAATATTCTGTTGGCAAAATAACTTTAGGGACAACGTTTTGAACCTGTTGCCCACAGTCAAAGTAAACGGCGAGACGATAACTTGGTTTAGATTCTAGTTTTGACTCTCCCTGTTTGTGTATTTTGATGTGCCAAATAATTAGATGTATGGGAAGCTTTACACGAGTAATTTCTCCTAAGTGCTCTCAGCTGACGCTTGCCGAACATCTCAGTCCAGCGCCGCTGGCTCCACTACGAATTAAATCTGCATTTAAACGTATCCCAGAGGGAGATTTAAATGGTATTTTTTCCCCATTTCCCATTTATTTGTTGTCATTTCTAACCACATTTATTTACAATCTTAACTGTCCCAACACTTACCGTTTTTAATAAGCAGGAAAAGATAGCATCTTTTAGAGCAGTCGGCCGTGATTCATCTGGGCTCTGCCCGCAGTTGAGATAAAGGAAAACGCCCATGGATGGTTAATTTCAAGAATTTTTTTTTTTATTTAGTTTTAGTTCTTCTCTGTGCTCCTACTATTTTATTACTGGCTTGTCTGTTTTGCCCATGTCCCAAGGATGCAATTTGTTTTGAACTTATTTTACTGTCTGGGCTCGTTCTTCAGCTTCTCGTTAAGGGTTCTGATCTTAGTCTCTCACTGCGTTTACTGGTAGTCAGTCTGGAAAAGAGTTTGCTAAATGCCCCCAAAAATATCATCCCCTGCTCAGTTTGTGGCTTCTTGTTTCGGCCCGAGGTCATCTTTAATGTCTTTTGGGGTATTTCAGATTTTGAACGCTAAGTCTTATGAGATGCCTAAATAATGAGCACAGGGTCTTTGTTTAAGGTAAGATTGCTTATTTCTCTTTAGACTTTTTTGTTGGTGGGGAGACGTCAAACTCTTAAATGTGAAAGAGTAGACATCTTTCTACCAAATGGAAACTGCCAAGTGGTGGAAACATGAACACAGGCAGCAGAGTAGTTCTGTGGTCTCTCCTTGTACCAAAACTTTCTACTGTTCTGATCCCACAACACCTGCCGACTTCTTGGATGTTTCTTCCCATGACTGCGAGTTAAATCCTTAAAATGTAACACGCAGGACTGGTTGCAAACACGTATTTCCGAGCCTTTCCTGTGTCAAAGTAATCAGGAAACCATTGGCAGCCTGTGAGGCAGCTGGTAAATGAAACGTGCTGGGGGTTGTTACGCCAACCCGTCCTTTGAGTCATGAAGTCTGCCTGCTTTGACTCAGCGGAGTACGAGCCACGCCACGCTTCCTGATGCCCATACGTTCAGGCATCAATCACTTCTCTGAGTTTGTATAAAACCGTTCTGTGCTGAAGGAAATGTGTTGATCGTACACTCGGTTGGATAGAATGTGATAAAGGGCAATTACGGCCAAATATGTTGAGGTTGAATTTTCACAATTGTTGAATATAAATAATCCACTGGTTTTGCATGCTTTGTTGTGCTGCATTCATTTACAAACTTTTACATCTAAATCCTCCTTAGCTGCATAAATTCAGGACTTTTCATTGCTTCAGGGTTTCATAAACTAAATTATTACTTAGGCTTTGACTTATAAGTGCTAGTGTCTCTAATGAAAAGTTTGAAGCAGTGGGGTCGGATCAGCCCACGGGTGTTTCTGGACTTAAGGACTTAAACACTTTAAGTTAATATATTTCATCTCTTGCATGTTAATTAGGCTACGTTCACAAGGCAGGTCGTAAAGCTCAAATTTGATTTATTTATTTATGAGTGGTCATTCGCAATCTAATTTAAATGAGACTACCATCAGACTCCAGTTTGAGCAGTTTATGGCCCTGAATGGGCCCACATGTGCAGAAGACAACGTGAGGCGTACTTATGGACATTAATATGGATGCTACACATGTTAGCATGAGTCTATTGTGCAATCAGAGTGGGCAAAATGATCACGTGCCATGCTTATTCTGTTCAATGTTAATAGTTGATCTTGCCATTTCCTACCTACTCCAGTATCGCACTTCAAGTAGGGGCGTTCCACACAAGCAGAAACAAATTTATTTTATCACTCTAGTATATAATCCAACATTAACGTTGGTATCATACATTAGTGTAAATTCTCAGTCATCCAGGACATGGCGCCTCTAAAAAGTAAAATAAATAAATAAAGCAACTGGGCTCCATTCTGTAGCTGAAGATGAAACAAATTCTACACTTTAAACTGCATCAATATTGAGGTCAATCCACATACCCCTGCTTCAGTGACATAAGAGTTGGACGAAATGCGATGACCGTTCTGACTCAAGTTGCCTTGAAAAACATCTGCTGTGTATCTGATTTAGGACTACATGAAATATTGGATTTGTCATGTTCAGGCTTTCATAAAAAAATTGGATTTGGACCACGTTTGCCAGCAGTGTGAACGTATCTTTAGACTTCAATTAAAATGTGTTTAAATTTTATTTGCTTCACTTTATCGTTCGCTTTGTATCTCCCGTTTATTTTCTTGACTCATTCCAATTTAATGTAGTTTAGTAGAACACAGATTGTAGTACCATTTTAAGCAAGTACTCTAGGGTTTATGAAACAAAACCAAAAATGTAAATTGACAGAATGACTGAGTGATGACCTGATAGGGGATGAACTTTTCAACACATAGTTACAGAAAGTTTACTTGTACTTTCCTAGTTTCTTTCTCTTTCAGACAGCATGTGATCAGGACACAGATGAAGTTGCACGTCACTGAGATGA